CTCATTCCTGATTTTAGTGGAATTGCTTTGAGTTTCTCTCCATTTAATTTGATGTTGGCTGTTGGTTTGCTTACTCTTACTGTTCTTCTTCCTCTTCTAAATTATTTTTCCTTCTACTCTGATATCTTTAAATAAATTTGGTGACTCAGTGAATTTTTTAAGTGTTGATTACAAGAGACCATATATTCGAGAGTCATTTGCAGCAACATAGACATCCTATTAATCTGTACACTGTTGAAGTAAACGGTTCTTCCTTCTCTAGTTGCCACTACCTACCTATAAATCCTCAGATGGAACCTCATGAATCCTACCCTTCCCCATAGTGGAATGTTGATGGGTCTTTTCCTGTGAATGGTCTTAGGCCATTAATCATCATTTCTGGGAGTTCAAGAGTGCAATGACCTTTTCATGCCCAGAAGTGAACTTTCTATATGTCTCTACCTTTCCTATAAATTCTAAAATGTTTAAGAAACTTTATTTATATTTATTAAAATGTGTATATGTTTGTGTATATGAGGAAAGTGTCCATGAAAACCAGAAGAGGGTGTTGGTATCCTCTGGTTCTGGAGTCACAGGCAATTGCCCCAACTGAGAGGGGTTTTGGAAACTGAACCTAGGTCCCTATCAAGAGCAGTGTATGTTCTTAACTAGTGAGCCTCTTCTCCAGGCCAGACCTTATATTTCTTCTGCTTCTCTCCCTTTCTTTAATCTCCCCAAGTCTTTGAGTGGGTGATTTAGACATCACATTTAGGAGTGAGTATTCTGAAGTCACTTTTTTTACTTTGTTTAGTTATAAGTTTCTGTATAAACCTTTGCTCATAGTAAAATGAAACTTCTAAGACAAACACTCACAGCTGTAATCTGGGGGCATATACATAAGAATCTAGAAGCCAATTAGATTAGCATCACATTCCATTTAGTAGCAACATCAGTAGTTTCTGCACTAGTGCCTATGACATACTTTTATATGTTTTATAATCTGCATGTGGAGAGATGGGTGAGACATAAAGAAAAATAACTGCTATTACAGAAGACCAGGGTTCAATTTCTAGTAGCCACATAGTACCTGAAACTCATCTGTAAATCCAGTCTCATTAAGTCTGATGCTCCCTTCATGGCTCTGTAGGCACTGCACATCTTTAGTACAGGTATGGTACAGATATACATGGAAAAATGCTCATACAACTATTATTAGCTCCACAGATAAGGATGGTGACATCATGAGCTGCTTTTTTGAGTGTGCCAGATTTGTAAAATTGTATTGATCTTCTAGGGTGCTAGTGGGGATAACCATGGCATCTGTAAGTCCATGTGAGTCATACCCATGTCATGCCCAGAGTCCAGCCCTTTGTGGCACTCCTCTGGCTCTAGCAGTCTGGTAGCAGTCTCTACCATTTCTTCCACAATGTTCCCTAAGCCTTGGATGTGAGTGGTTGTAGGTATTCTCTCACTTTCAATTTCCTTCATTTTTGTGTATAATCTTTATTTGTTCCACACAGTTAATAACAGAACTTGAACATGGAAGTATTTCCATTTCCAGTGAAATCTGTGTGCCTTTTAGTTTATCTTTTTTCTCTCATTGCAATAGTTAGACACCAGGTTAGGATGTAGTAAAAGGCAAGAACTGGTCTTTGAAAATCATTTTTTATGGGAAAATCATTATTTCTTAGCAAAGTGAAGTGCTGGATGAAGGTTTTGTTTGATGTATTTTTATCACATGTATGAAATTTCCCTCTCACTATTAACATGTAGGAACTACTGAAATATTCCAAGTTAGAATCAAATATGGGTGCATATGGAAGAAGAAACTTTCCATTGGAGAAAGAAAATAATATTTCTCTTTTGCTTATATTTCAGTATAAACAATCAAGGAGAGTTATTTCCATGACATTCAGTAGTGCTTATGCTAATAATACCTAATCACTCAGTATATGTGATAATTTAATGATTACTACGTCATGTTACTTCTTTTCAAAATAGCTCAAGCTAAAGATACTTGTGAGTGCAAAACTGGCCTAAGGAAACGTTTGCCAATATAGCCCTCCTATATGTACCCTATTGTTCTCATTGCATTTTGGGAACATGAAACAAACAAACTAGACATAGTTAAAAAGAGAAACCTCAATTGAGAAATGCATCCATCAGCTTACTTATAGAAAGGCTGTGGGGCATTTTC